GAAGGGCAAGGGGAGGGCAACAGAGGGGAGGAGGGGAGGGGAGGCTGGAGAGCGGGTCCGGAGCTAGCCATGCCTGCGCGGCGCGGTCGGGACCCCAAATCCTGCGGTGCAAACAAGACTCGAGCCCTTAGGTGCTAGCGGTTAGCCCAGGGGTGCGCGGTTGGTCCTATGGGGTTGGGGGCCGGCCCCGTACGTCCTAACCCTTGGCTGCCACCTGCGGGGGCTAGGATGGTCCAACCCTTCCCCTTCCCTATCTTGACCACCCACCTCCTGCGGAGCGTCCCCCTTTAAGGCCCTGATGTCTCCTGCGCACCTGCTGAGTGTCAGGCCCAGGAACCCCCCTCAGTGGGAGCCCCCCACCCCCACCCGCTTCGGAGCGGAAGAACAACAGATCATTTCAAAGAGTGACTGTTTTGAGTGCAATGCACGTTGAACAGGGCCACGTGATGGTGACCCCCCCCCCCAGGGTGGTGGTGGTAGGGCTCCCGAGGACATGACCCTGGAGCTGAGACCCCAAGTGTGAGATGGTCCAGTGGCCCAGGAACCGTGCGCAAAGGTCTTAAGGCCTTACGGAGCCTGGCCAGTTCCCTTTGGAGGGGACGGGAGGCTCTGGTGGTGGCTGCTCTTTAGAGACCAGGCTGGGAGAGATGGTGGAGGAGAGGACTGTGGCAGGTAGGTGTGGAGGGCTGTCTGTGCCCCTGGAGATGCCAGGTCTCCCCGCCTGCTCAGGCAGGAGGACAGAAGCTAATGGTATCCAGCCTGAGGTTTCTGCTCCAGAGGGACTAGGTGTGGGGAAAGCCAAATAGGGTCTTTGCATCAGGGAAGGAGCCCCAGGGCTGGGATATGCAGCCGGCTGGTGTTTGGTGTTTGCAGCTTTATGACTGGAAGCAGGACCCAGTGACGATGGGGGCGATGGGGGCGGCAGGAGGGGGAACCAGGCTGGCTGGACCCTGGCTGGTTGTGGGACCCTGGCTTGGGCAGAGGCAGCTCTCTGGTGTGACCGGGACTGAAGAATCAGTCTTGCCCCTGTACGGACAGTGAGTCAAGGAGGAGGCTGGGTATGGGCACGCAGGGTGCAATGCGTGAAGACATTTGAGTGACTGAAAAAAGAGTTGTCCCACCCATCCGGTCACCTCCGGTGTTCGAGTCTGGCAGGCTGGCCTTCCAGTTCAGCTTCCACCCCATGCGCACCGGCACGAGCTGGTGTGGACCCCGATGTGGACGTTGTCCTGGCTGGCAGGCAGGGTTTCAGGTCAGGCTTGGCGGGGGGAGGAGCTCATGCCCCCCCAGCAGGTGTGAGGCCTCAGGTAGAAAGCAAGCTGTGCCCTCACAGGGGCCTGAGAAGTCTGCCTGCCTTGGAAGAATCTGAATGAAGAGCAAAAGGGAGATCAAATATACTGGGGAAGGCCTGCCTCCTGAACACCTGTGGACGACTTGCGTCTCTACCTTCACCGCCTCTTCCTGTGCCAGGTGTCTCTCTCCTCCGTGGCTGATGGTACCTACCTCCTCACTGGTCTAACCCTGCTGCGACCCACCTGTTCTCTCTGGTGCAGAGGGGTCACTTTATAGTGCAGAGACGGTCCCCACCCTCCCAGGGCTCTGTCTTGCAGCCTACGAAGCCCCCTGACTCCAGGACTGACAGCCCTCAGCCTTGCCCTTTATTCTTGGAGCTTCTGCTACACTGGCCTTCAGGGCCAGGAGGGTACTGAGCCCATCACCTGGAGCCTCTCTCACCTGGAGTCCCCCTCCCTTGTCTTCATGCCTGGGCACAAAGGAATCTCCCCAGTCCGGGCTGCTGGGGGATTCCAGCTCCAGAGTCAGGGGGAGTGAGACTGTTGGTACATCCTGGGGCTAAGAGAGAGGGAGCCACTGTCACATCAGGGAATGGGGATGCCTGTCATGGGGTCACCCCTCGTGGCTCTCAAGGCCTGAGGCAGTGGCTCTGAAACACCCTGATTCTCCTCACGGGGGGTCATCAGGCCTTCCCTTGGCTCTGGAGTGGTATGTGTGCCCTGGAGCATCTGCCTAGGCCCAAATACTCCCTCCCTGAGTGGAGCCTCAGGCAAGTACTTCCCCTCCTTGGAAATGGGTCTGGGGTGCCAGCGGCACTCTGAAGGCCTTAGCAGAGCACAGGTGGTAAGTGCCTCATGCCCGATTACGCTAGCTCTGAAGCCTCCTGCTATGCAGCCGTGAGATGGACACGGTGGCCCTCATTGCCTCAGGCCCCACCCAGAGGCAGGGGTCCTTGTGGGGTGGGCAGGCCACAGAGGTGTTTGGCTGTCCTCAGCCCTCCACAGGCAGCATAGACGCCCACGGGAACGAGAACCTCTCAGCCGGGTGTGGCCGTGGTGGCCAACTGCAGGTGGTGGGTCTCTGCTGCCTTCTAGCTCCTGCTCCCTGCTCTCCCTCCTCCTGGGACCCAGGCCCAACCTACCGGAAGCACTGGGCTGGGGGAGTGGAGTAGCCAGGGCTGAGGATGACTCAGGGCCTAGCTGTCTCCAAGGCAACCCTGTCGCCTAGCAATGGCAGTCTCCTGGTAACGGTTGTCTCCTAGCAATGGGATATTTTCCCAGTCCTGGCTGGAGTCTGGCAGTTATTTTTAGCTCAATTGCAAATCAGTCGCAACTGCATTTTTGGCTCCCCGAGAAGATGCAAGGTGTGTATGTGTGTATTTCTTGTCAAAGGGAGGAAAATATCCCAGCTACAGGAAACTTGCCCCATGTCCCAGGGTGCAGGCTCTTCATAGGTGGCAAGGCCAGATTCTGCTTGGGCTGGGGGTGGGGGAGTGGGGTGCAGGTGAGCCAGAGGTTGTACAGGCTGCCTGGAAGAGTTGGCAGATATGACCCTCTCCCTGACGGGGTCTCTGGGAGGGCTGGTCACTTTGGCACCCTGGGGCTCCCTAGGTCAGGCTGGCCAGGGGTGATCCAGGCCTGTGTTCATGGCGCCATCAGAGCACATCACTGGGTGACCCAGTTTCTGGAGAGTTCCTGGCACCCCCTGGCCCTCAGCTGTGGAAACTGTACCTGCTGTCCCTGGCCCCCAGGCCCAGGTGTGGAGGTGGTCCTGGCTTCAGGGGTCTGGGTGACCATAGTCTTAGCTGGTGACATGGGTGGAGCTGGCCTCTGCTCTGCCCACATCTCTCCCTCTTCCCTGCTTTTGCTGAAGTGGAAGTCCAGTTGGGAGGTCTTGGGCAAGTGGAAGGCTTGACCTCTCTCTCTGGGCTTCCTCACCTTTTCCACAGGGGCTCTCCTCTAGCCCAGTGGTCGCCAACCGGTGGTCTGTGGGGTCCGAAAGGTTGGTGACGCTGCTCTAGCTGAAGGGCTTGGGGCTGACCCTGCCTGCCTCCCACCGGCCACCTTCCTGGTTCCTGGCCTTGGGACCCTTACCCTCTGTTCCCCAAACTTGGGGTACTCTTCTCTGACTTTTGCGTTGCTCCCCCAGGCCCCTATCCAGGCCAGACCCTGCCTTGTTCCTTGCCCGTGTCCCCAGCACTGCAGGCTTCCTCCCCTGCTGGAGGCCAGTGCCACCTGTCCCAGGCACTGTTCAGGGCAGGGCTCACCTCAGACACTGCTCTTTGTCCCGCATCAGCTCCAGCCACTGAGCAAGACCTAGGTTTTATGTGGGGATGGAGACAGTCCTTTTTGAAGGGTCAAGGCACCGAGGGTCTGGAACTGGGAGATGCAAAGGAGCTCCCAAACTGAGCATAGACGTCAGGGGATTTGCCTGAGGTTTGAGATATCATTCATTCATTCACTCATTCACTCATTCATTCATTCATTCACTCATTCATTCACTCGTTCACTCACTCGTTCACTCATTGGCACACACACTCGTTCACTCATTGGCACACACACTCATTCTCTAGATATTTACTGGGCACCTGCAGTGAGTCTGGTCCTGCACACACAGCAATCAAGGCCACACATGGCCTTCTGGGCTCCCGGTCCCCTAGGCAGCAGAACTCCCATGGCTAACACCACCAAAGTGAGGACAGGTGGCTCCTGTGTGAGTCTTCTGTGGGCTACTTCATCTCCTGGCCCCTCAAAGAAGAGGCTGGGGGAGGAGAAGGGGAAGCCCGGGGAGGGAGATACAGCTCATGGGTAGGCATGTGCCCTTCTGGAACAGGTTAGCTGTTCCCCTCCCGCCCTTGCCCCCACAGATACTGACCCATTATGGAGGGAGAGGGGATTGAGGTGGGGAGCTAGGGGCCCTAGGCTGGCAGAGGGTGCGTCTGAGGCTGTTTCTTCATACTGCCACTGGAGGGCGCCTGGAGCCCACTCTGCCTCAGAGGCCAGGGGGACAGGCCAATGCCCCAGTGACTAGCCAGCCATAAGTGGACCCACGGCCTTGGCCAGAGCAGTCTTGCAGCTAATCTAGTGCCCTCTCCCTTCCATCTTCAGCACCTCTTTTGCCTTATAGTGTCCAGCCCCAGGCCTTGACTACCCTTTTTTATTTTTAATTGGGTAAAATACACATAACATAAAACTTAACCATCTTAACCGTTTTTAGGTGTACAGTTCAGTAGTGTTCAAGTACCATCACCACTGTCCATCTCCAGGATGTTTCATCTTTCCGGACTAAAACTCTGTCCTCGTCAAGCAGTTACGTACTAACTCCCCATCCATATCATAGTGTATGTCATAATTTTCTTCCTTTTTGAGGCTAAATCAAATTCTACTGTATGGATGGACCACATTTTGTTTCTGTTCATCCATTGATGGATACTTGTGTGTGGGGAGCCGGCACGGCCATGGCACACTCAGCCCCACGTGGGCACCTCATGTGCCGTGCCAGCTCAGCCGGGTTCGGTGAGCCTGAGAGGGGGCGGTGAAGGGTTGGGAAAAGACAGACAAGAGGAGAAAGCTGGGTCTGGGTGGGACACTGTTCTCTCTGATGGAGAGCTAGCGACAGCGCCACGGACTACAAGCCGTGTCTTTATTTTATAGACAGATTCCTCGAGACAAAGTAAGGGCGTGGTCAAGATGTTTACAACAGTCTCGTGGGTGTCAATCCTACTCAATTACATGCACCTGAACTCTATCAAGCCCACATCACTCAGGCACGTGGGGCCACATGTTTGGACCATAGGTTCAAGCTCGCAACCATAGCTGTTGGCTATAATTGTGCTGGGAGGGCTCTGCCCTCCAAGCTGGGACTTGCACGTGGCCGTGAGAGGACTGTGCCCTCTCATTAGTCCGAGGCTTGAACCTGTCCAAACACTGTAGCCCCTCTCCACAGTTGTGTCCACCTATTGGCCATTGTGTAGCTGGTGGTTTTCATCCCACCAGCTGAGCCCTGTAGGTGTCTCGCCCTTCTTTGGCCTGGGAGGGCCCTGGGATCAGGGGAAAGGGCAGTGGTCTGTTCATTTTGGTAGCTGCTCGAACCCCTCCCCTTCCCCTTGGGCTATTTGCCCTCATCTGTCAGGCCCAGGGGTAGCAGGAGGGCTGGGGTTTGGGGACAGTGGGGGTGGAGAGCTCACACCACAGATGGCAGAGTCTATGCTGGTTCCCAAAGACCCTGCTAAAGCTCTCGGTGACCCCAAGGGATCCGGCATGAGCTCTGAGTTCTGGCCTTGTGGCTACGGCCTCTCTGGGTCCACTTGGCCCCCACATCAGGGTTCTTGCCAGGTCTGGAATCTCTCCAGTCCCCATTGGCCAGCAACTCCCCAGACCCTCCCCTCAGGGGAAATCCTGGCTGTGGGATCTCTGTGCCCCGCCCCACTCCTCTGGGTTCGTTTTAAGAGTGGGCCCCATTTCACGGTCCCATGTCAGGACCTCCTGGGCCTGATTCTGTGGCTCAGGCCTGCCCCTCGCCTCCTGCAACAGGTGCCAGCAGCCCAGGCACCTGGCCACACCTCCCCTGGATATCTGTCGCCTCCTGGGGTTGGTTGGGTCCAGATTGGGGCGGGATGGGGGCTGAGAGCCCAGGTCCCAGTCTTGGAAAGGGTCACCCGTTATGAGACGACCCCGCCCCGACCCCTTCCAGTGGGCATCAAACCCACCCCCACTCTGGCCAAGGGCTCAGAGGACAGCAGGCTAACCGGGATGGCGTGCACAAGGCCGAGGGCGGGGCACCTCGAGGGGGCGACTCAGAGCAAGCAGAGCTAGGCGCCCCCTTCCCGAGGTCTCCGAGGTCCCTGGATTGTCGTCCCCGCTCCTGCGACCGCCGCTGCGATTGGCGGAAAGT